TTTTCTATAGACTTTGTTAATGGTAAAATAACAAAATGGTTAGTCGAAGGTTAAAAAAGAGAAAATACACAGTAAAAAATTAGCATTAAAGCTCAGTATTAAGTAATTGAGTTTTCAATGATAAAAAGGGAATAGTGAAGAGCCTGAGATCATTGTGCAAGTTAACTTATCTAAGCATTCTTGGGATGCAGCTGTTAAAAGCTTGGTTTGATCTATAAAAAGGTACATAAAATGTTTGCAGTTGCCTAGTTGAACGAGTTTGAACAAAAAGATTTATTTTTTCAAGAAATTCGGGACAATTACATCTACTATTTATAATACTGAATAGCAAAGTAAGGTATCTCTGTTTTCGCCTACTTTCCAAGAAAGGGATATTCAGAAACTGTTCCATGATATCATAATTACAATAAACACCCAAATTAAAATCTATATGTCTGAAAAAGTTATGCTGAACACTGCCTATTTTCCTACTATATGTTATATAGTGTGGAGACCAAACGGATGAGCAATAGTCAAGGTGGGGTCTGACTTTAATTGCAGCTATGTCAGTAAAATCATGGGTCAACCTTTTGATAAAACCCAACATTTTCACGGACTTGTGGACAGCAGCAGATATGTGTTGATTAATTTTAAAGTGGGATCAAGAATAATTCCAAAGATATGCCCATATAAGTTGGCATTTATTGGCATTCAAGTCCATGCCATTTAAAGAACACCATTCTGATAAATTGTCGGGGTCAGACTAAAGTCTATTGGCATCGTCATGGGTTTTATTAATTTGGAAAAATTTTAAGTCGTCTGCAAATAATAAAGCTTTGCTGTTAGGGAAACAATGAATTATATCATTAATAAATAAGTTAAATAGTAAGGGTCCTAGATGTGAACCCTGAGGAACACCCGAGGTTACTTGAAATAAGTTAGAATAGTGGTGATTAGCTCTAACCATTTGAGTTCTATTAGTAATTGCAGTAATACCCCACCCAGACCATATTTGTTAAGCTTTGAAGTAACAGTTGATCATAATGAAGTTGTTAACTTTAACTTTAGAAGATAAGGATATCAATTTGTCTAGCGTGGGAACACTTTTGAATGCTAGGCGGCAATCGATGCAAAAATAAACCATGTTCTTTTTTTGTAAAACCACAGGACGAAGTTCAGATGCTCCCAGGCCAGTACAGTCCTCGGTGGGATGCATTGTGACATCACAACTGTCGCAAGCAATCAGCTTATCACTAAGAACGTCATCACACTTAGTACAGTTGCCAGCCATTTGAAATTGACTGAGTATCCTTACTATTATGCTCAATAATTAAAATTTAGCTATGGGCCACCTGACTGTTAGTGAATATTTGAAGTTAACTGTTATCAGAAGAAAGTTTTTGTGGATAGTTTTTGTAGTTTTATTTATTAATAATGATAGATGAATGCAGGGAATTAAATCAATCAATTAGATACGTATGTTGGGTAACCAATTTGAAGGAGACTTCCTGGATTATAAACTAATTCAAAAACGAGAATTTTCGAGACAATATAACGACTTTAAAACACAAAATAAGAAGAGCATTGCAAAGTAATATTTTAAATTTTAATTTTGTCTTATTTAAATTTAGCAATCTTCCCAAATGAATGTAAAAATAAAGAAAACTTCATGTATTTATAATTTTATACTCAATAATTTAGAGGACGCTAGCGTACCGACCAAGTTCTGTGTTTGTTCCAACAGATGTCGTCCGTAGGCTAAATACAATGACAATACTGAAATCCTACACTATACAAATGTGATTGTTTTCAATCACGAATACGTGTAAAATATCGCTCTCGTTTCCGAGATATTCGGACCGGCAACTTCTATTGAGACACTCTGTAACTAGTTGTTTGTTAAACTGTTATTTCGCGTAGAATTTTCAAGTTTGCTAATTACTCACTGCACTCTACCGCTGCATTATTTAATACCAACGTGTATCTGTATATTCGATACGAGAAATACAGAAGTTACTTTGTTTTCAACCGCAATGTTCTATTCTGGAAACCCTACCTTGCGTACGTTGTCTTAATGAGCTCTTAATGATTAATTTGCAGAATCTAGAAACTTCCTGTGGGTGGAATTTGGTTTAGTGGAAATCCGATTTTTCTGGAAATGTTTTTTGGTAGCATTATATATGAGGCTAAAGGAAATTCACCGTTTTTAAGAAAATTGGGGAAAATAACAGTGTACTTAGATTTAGCTTTTCCACAAATCTGCTACAATCATACGTAAAAAAAGTTTTTCTAACGATTGGTGGTGTACCTCAAGAATCTATCCTGTGACCTTTCTCATTCTTCTTATATATTTCCCAATTTTATAGACAGCTTCAATATATAAAATCACATATCTTGATTTTAACGAATCTGAAATTTTGTATGTATGTCAAAATGCTAGAACAATTATTGACGAGACGTCCAAAATTATAATACATAGGAAAAATAATTTGAGATAGTTCCATTAAAGAAAATGCCATGTTTTAGAAACAAAACTAAATCTATTTCTTTAGATTCTAATGAGGGTAAATGAATTGTTTCCTCTGATTACGCACTGGCTCAACCTAAGTAAGTCTCAGTCTAGTTCAGCGAAAAAAGTAGTGTAATTGTTGGCATTATCAGTAAAATATAAAGAATTACACAAAAGAGTCTAAAGAAGAAATGAACGTGTTCAACAATAAAAAGGCGGACAAGTGCCAGATGTGTGAATAAGCACGTCTAAGCGGATTTAAAGAGGTTTGAAATGCCCAGAACGAGCAGATTAAATAATGAAGTTATACTTACAATAAAAATTGTAGAAATTCTTAATGATATAATGTGTATACTATATGTAATTAAAAGTAAAAAATATTTACAGTGGTTCTACCGCAGATGAATTAATTCAACTAAATAGACCAACGCATATTTACCAGTAGCAGCATTAATCGTAGCAATATTTCAAAAATGCGCCTCGGCAACCAACACTGAAAAAGCTCAAGTAAAAACCGATCAATTAAATGAATAAGTAAACATTTACCATATCTAATACCTTTGACAAATGTCGCCCTAATAATATAAAGTTGGCCTACAACTAATGACTTTAGTTCCCGCTGATCTAATATTGTGGACCATTCACCAACTAACTTGTTTAGCATATCTATCTGAGCTTGAGACATGAAAGAATATAAGCAAATATTTTTTCAACCTGTATAATACATGCAATACTACAATTTGGAACTTAAAGCTTACGATTTCAAACTGATTTTCATTTGGGATATGAGCTAGTGATGGGAGTACTCGAGTACAGGAATCGGATAATACCCGATTCCTAAAGGAATCGGTAGTATTCGAATACTGACGACCAGCGTCGGAATCGGAATCGATTCTGATTTTTAAATATTAGACGATACAGCTGCGAATTACGATCCGTCTTGTACCGCTGCTCACTGCTGACGTGCTGACTGAAACGGAATTAAAATATGGAGTCGAGTCGCATTCGAGGTTCGAGACGCTGGAATCGCTGATAATTGGATCGGTGTCGGTGATCGTCGTTATACTCGGTTGATGCAAGTACTCAGTACTCGGTATTCAATAAAATACCCGATTCCGTGAAGTACTCGAACCCTTAGTACTCGATTCTCGAAAGTATCCGATTCTTCCCATCACTAATATGAGCAATACTATATCCTCTAAAAATCCCCACCTCTTCTATGCTCCCCTCTCCAATATTCATAATATACAAGTATAAAGATGTGCTAAAGGTATGGTAATATCCCTTCCACCAATGTTTACGTCGCACATGTCTGCTGAAGACTAGCGCTTCACTCTAGCTATGACGGTTGAGAGTCAAGGATGTGTTAGGTATGCCCTGACGTATTTCCCCTATGCTACAATAGTAATCACTGGGATGTACTTAGATTAAACTCATTACACTACATGATATACATAGTAATTATTATCTAAGAGGAGCTTACTATGCTCGTTACACGCTACTTGATATACAAAGTAAATACTCGAGGTACTTACATTTCTGTGTATGAAGTAATTACACTCATAACACTGCAATAATTACACTCATTACACCATGCAATTATACTCATTACATGATGTACATAGTAATTGGGAGGTACTTGCTAATTGCGCGAAGGGTGGGGGTGGTTATTTATGATAATTACCCAATTACCTCTGACCTTGGTCCAGAACTGGCTGATCTCATCTACTTTTATTGTAGTTGTTTTGAGTCTATACCAAAATTGTAGGGTTGAGGTTTCTAAAGCCGTTTTCGGATTAACTGTTCAAGTAAAATCCAATAAATAGGGTATCATAAGAAAATAAATTGTTTGCCCTTTAAAATATTTAGCTCTCCTCACTTTAAAATTTGTGGTCGAAGATGCGGGTTAAAAAATATGCTTAAAATGTTTCCCTTCATAAACAAAAATCGACGTGTCCGAGCATTTGTGCATTAAATTTCAGGAAAACAGGAAAGGCTAGATGCTTAATTTTCGCCCACAAGAGGGTGCTAAAATTGAAATTACCTTTTCAAAAATTTGCCATATTTAGTACTTAGGTACCCCGAATTTCAATAATTCTTTACAAGAAACGGCAACATTGTAAAAACATATCAACTACTGTCTGGAACATTATAAATAAGCCAATACGATTTTTAAGTTTCATTATAACGATGTTTAAAGAACATTGAGGCGCGCATTTCAAATTTGCTTAAATTTATTGGAATTTTAAGAAATTCTTGTATGAATATTTGATAAGAGTTTTCAATTTCACTAAAAACACCCATTTTAAACTGTTAATTTGATTTCGCAAATGATGCTCTATCCTTTATTATCTGGGCCATTCTGCCTCTGTAAGACTACCTGCAGCAGTTCTTAACGTATATGTAAATCGCCCTCCGATGGGAATTCACTTCGTCTCAAATAAATTGAACAGAACTTCGCTCGATCACATGAGTATTAAAGTAAACGTACTCGCCTAAATTAAGCTCTTACCTGCTATAATTGCGTTGGGCTTAATCACCATGCCTCAGCAAACGCCTGAAAAGAAAAAAAAATCGTTAAAAAAAAGATACTTCTTCTATATGATTATTAAAAGAAATATCGACCTTATAACACTTTATAAGTCTTAATTGGTATAAATGCAGACATAAATGCAATATTTGAAACGACAATTACGGACTGTTTGCCTTCATTTCTGCTCAAATAAACCAGAATTAAGAAAACGTTTGCAGCTTCCCAAAAGTAATTTAATTTAAAATCAAATAGTCCTCGCTTCCGACATGACCTGTTCATAAATCTTTTTAACTCTTGAACGAAATTCTCGTAATGTTGTTACTTTATTATATAACGAATTAACTGAATTATCAAGCTCTAGGTACAAAGTTGGGAACGTGTTGAATCTCCGTATGCAATGCTGAATATTTAATTGCTTTCTTGATACTACCTCTTAACCTTTTCATTTAACTGGCTATAGAGGTTTACTAGAAGTGAATACAAAGTGACTAAGTTAAGAAGCGTTATTCTAGGTGAAACTGTGATATTTTATAAGCACGAATTGGCTTGTCTGGGTTAATTCATGCGTTTAGTCATTATTCAGATTAGATAAAGTCTAATATTAACTATATTATCTTTTTTTAGAACAACCTGAATTAAACTTAATAAAAATTGGCGCCCAACGTGGTGCAAGAAAATTAAAAACCTATTTAAAGATTCGAAAACTATTAGTTGTAATGGAGCTATTTTTTAATACCTAATAATTCATTTAATTTTGCAAACAGGATAATTAATACGAAAAATAATAAACATATTGAGGGAGATATAAACTTGGGATCTTTTGGCATTATTACTACATATTTTTTCGTTAGTTCTTACATCTAAATGACTTTTTACACTGAATGTTATTTGTCTTATTCAAATGGAACAAGTAATAACGAAAGGGTTGCCAGACGTCACGCTTTAGGTGTATTTGCCACACTTTTTTACTTGCTTGTACGCGCAACGCCACAGTACGAAAATGTCTCGCTTTTGACAAAAATGTGGCAACCCTAAATAACGAAGATATAGACTACTGCGCATGTTCTCCTTATTTAAGAGATATATCTAAATAACATTTCAAATTGAATTCCGTTTGTTTTGTTTTAACAGAACTAATAACGAAGATATAAAGTGTAGGTCCTTTTGGAAAAGCTACTACGCATGTTTGTTTTTGTTTATTAAAAATGACATCTAAGAGACATTTAAAAAAATAAATAAAGATGTTATTCCGCATCATAATTAGGCCATATACCTAAGGATTAATCTAGATGTACGACTTAAATGACATAAAATGCCTAAAGACCTTAATCTTAAATTTAAAAAAGGATCAGATCCTAGGAAGAAAACCCCAATAGTTGCTTTGTTAACAAATTCTAAAGCCATACAGCATTTTTTCCAAAATAAAGCCCTCGTTGTTGTACCTTGGTTTTAGCTTCAATAGATGCCAAAAAGAAGAAATATAGATTTGCTACATTTAGATTAAAATTGTAGATTAGCCAATAATGACTAGTAACAATACTACACTAAAAAAAGAACATGTATATTTAAATAAACGTTTTTGCAACCGGCTCTAATAATATTGTGCTGTTATTAATACTAAAAATACGTTGAATAGTCTAAACATTTTCATTTTATCAAAATAGTTCTTCTCCTACATATTAACCTGTCACAGACATTCTACAAGCCATAATACGTTGAACTCTCTTACGCAAATGATAACTTATATCACCCCAAGGAAATCATGAGAAGTTGAATGCATATCTATCAAATAGAAACTTCTTAGTAAACAAAGATATTTAATATACGAGGTAGCATTAGCGTACACTGTATTCTTCGCAGATCTTTTGTGGACTTTCTATTTTTGAAAATATCCATCTATAAAATCCTAATTATTAGATCTATATTTAAATTTTTATCATCGAAGAATTGCCAAAGAAAGGAGGTAATAATTTTTAACTGATTATTCTGAAATCAAAAATAGTTCTATACACAAAATTGCACAAATTGTATACCCCAAATCCACTAGTCCTAGCAGTGAGTCACTACAGTACTAGTACAGAAGCAATAGTATGTAATCTATATACTACATACTAGTACTGAATCCAGAAATGCTAGGAGAGACTCGTATACCAAATCTACCAGTTCTATCACTAGTATGTAATCTACATACTAGCATTTAATCCATAAATGCTAGGACAGACTCGTATATCAAATCTACTAGTCCTAGTTCAAATAGAGTAAGTAATTACTAGTTTAGAACAAATAGTATATAATCTACATACTAAATACTAGCTCTAAATCCAAAAATGTTAGGACATGGTCTACGAAACCTTCAACTAGCACCTCTGCTGAATAAAGCAGCGCCAGTGCCATTGGCAGCTTCCCTTTTAAGGGTTTAATGTTCTTAGTATGTAAAACCCTATGACGTCAAAAAAGAACGAGTGACAACGGTCTTCAATTGAGAATACAAGAATTATATGCATCTCTCGATAGCGTGCTTGAGGGGAGAAGAAAGAAGAACTAGTAACAAGCACCGTTAAAATAGAACGTTCAGTAAGAGTCAGGAACTGCTAGCAAGTAATCCAGATGACATAAAAGAAGCACTTATTGAGTCTACAGTGAGCTCAATTGAAACTACTAAAGAATTAATTATCCACCGTAACCGAAAGTACCACAGAATTTGGGGAGATTTCTACAATACGATCTACTAGTACGAGCTCAGAGTTTACTAGTCTCACTACTAACACAGAATCTATGAGTACAAGCACAACATCTACAGCAGTACCAAAAGTTTACCAGTACTAATACAGATTTAATAACCGGTACTACGGTATCTAAAAGTTCTAGACCCAAATCCAGAAATGCTAGTACCTAACCTACTAAACCCTGGGTGTATCTATAACTTGTGTTGGGTGGGTTGTCCCATGGAACTTAGGCCTCACTAGATCTATTTTGCATTCTTCTGCAGAGTGCAGTTCCTGACAGCCCAATGATATGGAGATGTTATGTTGGGAATGGGGTGTTAATACATTGCGACCTAAAAGATCTATTGTGTCCTTCTGTCGCCAATGCACCAAGGAAATGTATCAATGCCTATAACCCTTCCAATCCTATTTTCTCAAGGAAGTGTAGGATTTGAAGTGGCTTCAAGTTAGGTAAATCTCCCTTTTCTATTTGATATCATCCTAGATATAGTGCCCTTGGATTCTGGAGTGCTATACATTCAGTTAGGATGTTAATGGAGGTTTCGTTCTCCTCCTCGCAGAATCTGCACTCACTATCCTCTACTACTCTCAGTATACTTAGGTGTCCTTTTAGTCGGCAATGCCCGGTATGGATCCCTGTTACAATACGTAGCCTGTTCTTGCTCAGGCAGATGCAGGCTTCCGATCTTTCCTGGTTATATTCACCCAGAAGTATCTTGGCTTGTCTCAGCACCAAGAAATTGTTCCAATTATCGGTTCTTCTACTGCCCAATTCTTTTTAATCTCTCCTAATATTATGTTATTGCTGATACCGCAGAACGGCTCAGGTCCTACAAAGGGTGTTTGAGCTCCTTTCCTTGCAAGACTATCTGTAATCTCATTACTCTATACCCCGTTATGTCCCGGGACCCAAGTGAGAGTAACTCTATTTTCCTCGCCTAGCTCATTCAATTGTTCTAGGCATCTCCAGACCATTTTTGAGCTGATTGTAAGAGCTCAGCGCTTTGATGGCTGCTTGACTATCGGACATGATGATAATCTCTTGTCAATGATAGTTTCTCTCAATGTTAAACTGGATACACTTCTCGATGACATGAATTTACGCCTGGAAGATGCTTGGGTATTTTCCCAAGCTTTCGGAGTGCTTGGTTCTCGACCCATACACTCCTATTCCAGTTCCTTCTATGGTTTTGGAACCGTCCATATGCCACTGAATAGCACGTCTTTTGGTTGCAAGGCGATGGATTCTTGACTTCATTCTTTCTTGCAACCCAGCTCTGTGGTTTTGAAGTTTTTCACAAAACTGTACTTCTTTAGCATTTGATCCTGGGGCATGTCCTGAAGCAAGTAGACTTTCGTTTGATTACTCCGTTCCTGATCATTTCATATCGTGTCCTTTTTGCCACATTCTCTATCCTCAGATGTAGAGGGGTGAGATTTAAGATCACCTCCATTGCGGCCGTAGTACAGGATCTCATTGCACCAGTGATGCAAACACAGGCTAGTCTTTGTACTTTTGAGATATTAGCTCTCGTAGTAGCTAAACTAGTTCTGTTACTCCAGGCTATACCCCCGTAAGTGATAATTGGTCTCACTATTGCAGTATACATCCATCGCAGTATATTTGGGTTACATGCCCATCGTTTACCTGCAATGTTTCTGCATACCATGAGGGCTTTTGTGGCCTTATTTACTACTTCCTTCTCATGTGTGTTCCAGAGTTGTTTGTTGTCCAGGCTTAGATATTTGACTTCATTTTTCCAATCTATATTTATCCCGTCTAATTTAACGGTTTTGAGATTAAGTTTTCTTTTCCTTGAAAAGGCTCTAGTGTTGTTTTTGTAGGGTTTATAGTCCCACTTCACGGCACCATCTTTTGGTATGTTCTAGTCCTCGTTGGACTATATCACACAGGATATTACTAGTAAATATGACTATGTCGTCGGCATAACCTTGACAGGGTATGCCGAGGTCAGTCAATCTGCATAGAAGTTCGACTACGGTTAGGCTCCACATTAGTGGGGATAGAACTCCTCCTTGTGGACATCCTCTGGTTGTGCAGATGGAGAAGGTGTCCTGCCCTATATATGTCTCTGCAGTTCTTGTAGATAACAGCTGAGCCATCCATCTGGATGTGATGTTATCTATTCCTCTGCATGCAAGTGCTCTTTTTACAGATTCGTGTGGCGTGTTGTCAAAAGTTCCTTCTATGTCTAGGAAGGCACACACGACCTTTTCTTTGTTTGTCAGTGCATCCTGGATTACGTAAGTCAACTGTACCAGGGCAGTTTATGTAGA